CCCTCAAAACCCCAACCCCAGGTAGCTCCCGAACGCACCCAGGGCTCCCTGATCGGTATGACCCAGGAGAGCGGTGACAGCACCACGGGGGGGTCAGGAGGAGCAGGTGCAGGGGGAGGGGGCAAGAAGGCCTTTCAGATGCTGCCAGGCCGCAGTACTCGAGCACGAGAGGATCTCGAGGGGTGAGGGGGCGGGGGGGAAAGGGGAGGGGTGAGGAGGAGAGGAAGGGGTTTTAGGGGGAAAGACGAACCACAAACGAGTGAAGCTGCTGCCAGGGCAAGAGTGTACCAGACGTAGAACTTAGGGGGTTTAGGGGGAAAAAGGGGGGAGTTGCCGCCACATACATGACCCAGCCGTACACCGTTTACCGACGGCTGCTGACGTGGAAGGGTGAGAGACGGGAGAAGTGTCTGGGCGGGGCCCCTCGTACCTCTGTGCACGTGTCGATAGGGAAGCTCGTCTGGGTGGGGAAATACGGTGTCGTACGTGTCGTACAGGGTTCCGGAGGCTGATGAGGAGGGGCTGGATCCGGAGGAGGGTACCGGCACGTTGTCGAGCCGGGTGCTGGCGGCGGACGGCCTGGGCGGCGGCGGCGGCAGTCTCGACTCCAGGAAAAACTCCTTCACGCAGGGGCCGTACAGCCCGCCGCCGCGGCCCGTCCTGGCGTTGCACCTGAACGGCGGCAAGGCCGGCGTCGCTGTTGGCGGCGGCGGCGGCGGCGGCGGCGGAGCCAATGAGGACGTCCAGATGTTGAGCGAGCGCTCGTTGGGCGGCAGTTCAACGCGCGATAGCAGCATCAACGGCGGCGGCGGTACGGCGGCGGCTGTGATGCAGCTGTCCGGCGGCTTTTCGTCCAAGGCCCTTGCAGCCGCCATTGCCGCCGCGGCCGCCGCCGCCAGCGGCGACGCCACCCCAACCAAGTCTCCTGCCTTCCTGCCTCACCCAGTGGCGGCAACGGCGCCTGACGTCAGTGATGACGTCATGGTGCTCTCGCCGGAACCCGGTAGCGGCGCTGGCGGCGGCGGCGGCGGCTGCACTGCATCTGACAACGGCGCGCGCGCCAGCGCAGATATGGGCGAGGTTTGCCCCGGCGAGCGCACCGGCGCCGGCGCCGGCGCCGCAGGCCGCGCCGCCACCATCAGCCCCGCCGCTGCGTCGCTGCCACGACGGCTGACGACACCCGTCGCACACGACTCGGCGAACAGCACTGAGGGGATGCGGCGCAGCGGCAGCCAGAACAGCAAGAGCAGCGTTACAAGTAGTGCACATCCAACGCAGCTGCCGCCGTCCATGTTTTCGGCACCGGCTTCGCCGGCGGCGGCGGCGGCGGCTTCTTCGCCACCACCGCAACCAGCGGCATCTGTGGAGACATCGTCCGCGCCGGCAACACCCGCAGCCCCAGCGGAGCCGAGCGGCGGCGGCGGCGGCAACGGTGGCGGCGCGAGTATGACGACGACGGCGGCAGCGGCGGCGGCGGCAGCAGCGGCGGCGGCCGCACCTGAAGGCCACGATTTGCTGCCGCTACTGCCGACGGAGAAGCTCCAGTTGACGGCCTCCGAGAACGCAGCCTCTCCTCCGCCTGTATCCGCCGCCGCGGCGGCCCCCTCCTCCCCCTCCTCCTCTGGCGGGCGTATCCTGCCGCACACGGGCTCCGCCGCCATTCAG